AGAATAAGATAAGAACAAGCAAGATGATCTAATCTAATCTAGATAAGGCTGCTGTTGCCGAATTGGGTAGGATGAGAATCATTGAATCACTGCTGCTGCTGGCGGTGGGTCAGGTGCCTGTTGCTGCCGGTGGCAACGGTACGTCTTCCCGAGGAATGCGTCCATAACAGTTATCTCGTGTATTCTTGTACACTTTGTGTATATATTTTAATTTTAATAAAAGACTTAAGTTACTGATAAAAAAAGGGGATGCTTAAACCTGTTCTCTTTAGTACTCATTTGACTTTTGGAATTTGGATGACTACAAAAATGTATTACTAAAAATGGAGAAAATAAATGCACTTAATCCATCAACCTATTTAAATAGAGCATAAATGGGTAGTGACCCACCCACAAAGGTGCCATATTGTGTCAGATACTTTAATTTTTAGTGTAAAAATTTCATATCTAGTACTTTATCCAGCCATGTATGCCATATTTGGGTAATATAGATCAACCCACATCCTCCTGATTCCTACCTTGACATGATAGACCCACTGTTCCTCTCACCATCCATCCAATTACTGTTCTAGAATATCCTTCTACCTCCAGATCGGCAGAGCCCATAAGAACCATAGCTAAACCCCTGTAAAAGTAATAGCAGCTCAGGCTTTGTAGAAGATCCAGGCCTAGTTTCAAAAGAAACTAGAAAATCTCAGGTGGTTTTACCCACCTCTCTATAGTCTTCAGGTCTGTGAACATGTATATTATGGTCATGGCATGTCATGTTCCATTGTCATGATATTACTGAGATAGTAACTCCCAAATTTGGTGGAAAATTCTCTGAAGTGTGATTCTCTTATAATTTATATTGAATTCGATAAAGATGACCAGTTTCCTTTTGTGTACATGCAATTGTATTGGAAACCATTGAACTTGTTACTCTTTTCCTTGTAGGAGGAGAAGTATCATGAGGCAGTTAAGAGATTTGAGTTTGACAACCAACTGGGGCCTTATGCATTGAATCATTTTGGGACCTGGAAGCAGATTTCAAACTACATCACAAAGAGTACCATTGAACGGATTGGTATGCATTGTGGCGTTTGGTGTCACTTCTTTAATCTAGTGCGACCCTTGGAATGCTCTTTTGTATTTCTTGTTTATATTATGGGAACTAACACTCAGTTTAGGAAGAGCGCAAATTAAAATATGTTCAGTGCAAAACCTTGTATCTGCACTGTACATGTTTGTATTTGTACTCTTCCCAAATCGAGTCTAATATGTCACCCAATAACCTCATCAGGAAAGAGGCTTTGGACACAACAACATGCCCATCCACTTCTTGCTAAAGAAGTTATGGAAAGAACAAGAGGCACAGAATCAGCTTAAATTAGGAGTAAAGGGAAAGTTTCCATAAGTGGGGAGGAGCAAGTACAAGAGGAAGGCAAAGGAGTAGAATGATTGTAGTGAAGGGTGTCAGAAAGTTTCTCAGATTGAAAGCCAGCTTAAAAGATAATGGAGAACACGGAAACAAATTTGGAGGGCTACCATCCTAGGTATTATGTTAGTATAATGGGGAGCACGGTAAAATGGTTCTTCCACTTTTATTTATAACATTCTTAATATAGAAAGATAGCTTAAAAATTTGCTTCTGAATTAATAAATTTATTATCATTCATAAAAAAAAAGATAGCTTAAAAATTAAGATCATATGAAGCATATGCTTCCTGTATAAAGCACAACAGGCGCATATGCCCCATACACCACTAAGCTGGAGGTCTATGCCTTAAGTGTTTCATGCCTCCACTGTGCACCTCCAGGTGTTTTTTTAGTTTGCCTGAACCTTTTAAAACATTGTGTTGTACTTATTTTGTGGACTTAATATTTAGAAACGCCTTAGTTTTTGTTAGAGTTTTGTTTTGGATGGTAGGTATGGGTGCCCCTGTTCCTCCATTTTGCCCTTGTAGAATTCATCTTATGTCTTTGTTGATTTCCTTTTACTGTATCTTTAGAATCCTTGTATTCCTTCTTTTTGGGAATTACAGAACCAATTGGACGTGAAATTACTGTTGTGTGTGAATCTGGACTGGTTGAACAAGTCCCTAAGACAGTCATGGAGAAAGCTTTAGCAGAGCAGTTAAGGAATAGTAAGTTCTCAACATCTGCTGAAAAATCCCAGAGACGAGGCTGTTACTACACATCAATTCCCCGTGTTGTCAAGAATAAGGGCATTTCAGGACAAGAACTTACTTCTTTGAACATTGACAAAGTAATGCTCTACCTTCTGAAAATAATTTTTAAGCTAAAAGATTGGTGGCTTTGTGAATGCAAGTTTATACAATTTCACTATTTTGATTAGCCATTTAGATCTTTTAGTGTATCTTTGTGTAATTATGTTCTCTTTATTATGTGGTGTTTATTCAGTTATTTGCATAGCATTAAACAATATGCTCCTAGGAAATTATATTGATTAAACTTAGAGTTATTTATCAGAAGAGAAAATTATTAAATCAGGGCTTTTGTTACCACAGTATTTTTATGCCCCTTTCAAATCCACTGTCTGCAATACCCACCATCCATGACAGAATCCTTTAGTTACCTGCATTATTTACAAGTCTCTCCATAATATCACTGTACCCCCTGAGGCCCCCTAGGATGAGGTATTGGATTCAATGGAGGAGCTGATTGGTAGATATACTGTATCGGTAAGGTTTAAGAATGTGGATGACGGGTTCTCCTGGGTATTAACTAATGTGTATGGGCCAAATAGTCATAGAGAAAGGTGGGATCTATGGGAGGAATTGTATGCAATATGGGGCCTGTGGGAGGGTTCTTGGTGTTTGGGAGCGGATTCAATGTGATAAGGTTCTCTAATGAAACTTCTAACCCCAATTGTCAAAAAAAAAAAAAAGAAACTTCTAACCCCCGTCAGTCAATAATCACCCGTATGAGAAAATTTAATGAATTTATAGACATGTGCGAGTTGAAGGAGATTCCTCTTTTTTATACTAGTTTCACTTGGTACAACTTTTAGGAAAATCCACTGTGTTCAAAGCTGGCCAGATTTTTGTTTAACATAGGATGGGAAAATCATTGGGAATGTTTGGTGTCTAGAGCATTGCCCAAAGTCACTTCAGATCACCATCCCATTAGATTAGGATCTGAAATTTTTTTACATGGTCCCACTCCCTTTAGATTTGAGAATATGTGGTTGATACATCCAGATTTTACTCACAGAGTAGAGGAGTGGTGGAAGGAGGATCTAAGGGGGGTAAGGTGGGAGGGAATCAAATTCCATAAGAAATTGCTAAGATTGAAAAGCAAGATCAAGGAGTGGAATAGAGACCATTTCGGAAGACTAAAAGAAAGGAAGCTTACTCTCACATCTCAGATTGAAGAATTGGATAAATTGGAGAATGAGAGAAACCTTAATGAGGAAGAAGGGAAATTGAGATGCAAAATGAAGAAAGATTTGGAGGAAGTTCTAAGCAGAGAGGAAATCTGTTGGAGACAAAAATCAAGACACAAATGGATAAAGGAAGGGGATGGGAACACAAAATTCTTCCATGCGATGGCCAATGGTAGGTGTAAGAACTTTGTGGCTAGGTTGGAGATTAATGGGGAAGTAATTTCTAGTCAGAATGAAATAGCCAGAATCTTTGTGGACCATTTTAAATCCTTTTACAGAAGACCTTTGGGGGATAGATTGAGGTTAAAAGGATTAGAGTGGCCCTTATTGGAAGAGGAGGTGGCAAGGTGGCAGGAAAGGGACTTTGAGGAGGAGGAAATAAAAAAAAAGCAGTTTTTTCCATGAACAGATCTAAAGCATTGGGTCCAGATGGCTTTACAATGGCTTTCTATTAGGATTGTTGGGAAGTATTGAAAGATGACTTGATTAAAGTCTTCAAAGAATTCTCAAACACGCACATTGTTAGCCTTGGAGTTAATGCAACTTTTCTGGCTTTGATTCCGAAAAACCCAAATGCTAGTCAACTTAAGGACTTCTGACCCATAAGTTTGGTGACTAGTATCTACAAAATAATTGCTAAGGTTCTGTCTTCGAGGATTAAAGAAATACTCCTCTTTCTCATAAGCTAGTTCCAAGGGGCATTTGTTCATGGGAGACAAATAATTGATCAAATCTTGATAGCTAATGAATGTGTAGATGCATTACTTCTGTTTTGACTGGTGCTACAGTAGTCCGAACCAGAAAGAGAAGAAGAGAAGAAGAAGAAGAAGGGTCTGTCGAAATCTGATGGGTTTCTCATACAATCGACCCCCTTAATCTATATTAGACTAATAATCATTACAAAGACAAAAATGCCCTTACTTAAGTGTGGGGCAGAGTAACTCTAATAACACTGCCACATAAGCAAGCTACTTAACAAACATAAGAAGACTAAACTACCCCTATTCAGCACACTTTAACAACTTCTAATAAAAATTTCCAATCCACCAAGTCATAAGCCTTTTCTAAATCCAATTTGCACATAAATCCTTCCTTCCTGGATCTTTTCATTTCTTGCAACAACGGGGGTTTGGGGAAAGATGGTGTAATCGGGTCTTTGGATGCCTTTGGTCTTGTCATTTTTCCATCCTTTCTTTTTTACTTTGATGGCAAATATTTTTAGTAGACTCCTTTCTATGGCAGATAGGGAAGATGAAGTTAAAGGATGGAAAGTGGGCATAAATAGGGTTCCATTAACTCATCTCCAAATTGCAGATGATATCATAATTTTTTGTTAAGGGGTTAGTAGACTCCTTTCTAAGATAGATAGGGAAGATGAAGTTAAAGGATAGAAAGTGGGTAGAAATAGGGTTCCAATTACTCATCTCCAATTTGCAGATGATATCATAATTTTTTGTGAAAGGGGTGACTTTAGGAGAGTGAGGAGAATAAAAGAATTGATCTAGAAGTTTGAAAAGGTGTCCAATCTGAAAAGCAATTTGGACAAGAGTTGTATAGCAGGGATTAATTTGTTGGAGAATGTTCTAATCTTGGTAGCGGAGTGCTTAGAGTGTCATATTACCCCTTGGCCTCTGACATATTTTGGACTTTCTCTAGGGGCCAATCCTAAGGAAAGCAGATTTTGGAACTCAGTTGTAGAAAGATGTGAAAAGAGATTGACCGCCTAGAAGAGGAGTTACACATCTTTAGGAGGAAGGATTACCTTGATAAGATCTACTTTGGCTAACCTACCTATTTATTTCCTCTCTGTTTTTAGGATCCCTCCAAGGGAAGAAAAGAAATTAGAAAAAATTATTAGGGATTTCCTTTGGGAGCTAGGAGAGACAAGAAAAGACCATTTAATTAACTGGGAGATTGTGTGCAAAAGAAAGGAAGAGGGTGGGCTAGGTCTTGGGAATGTAAGAAAGAAGAATGCAACTCTTTTGGGAAAATGGTTATGGAGGTGGCCTCTAGAGAGGGAAAACTTGTGGGTTGAGGTAATGGATAGTATTCATGGGAGATTGGAGAGTGGCTGGGATGCTGGTGTATCATGTCGGGCTGCCTTGCAACACCTTGGAAAGCAATTCACAATCTGCTTCCTAAGTTCCTTAATCTTATCAAGTATGATGTTAACTTAGGGAACTTAATTCGTTTTTGGTAAGACACTTGGTTTGGTGACCGACCCTTAAAGGATTTACTTCCTACTTCTTGATAAAGTCTGCTTAGAGGCTTCTAAACCAGATAGGAGAGTTCAGTGTCCACATCCTAAAGGCTTCTTCTCTTGTGCCTCTTTTTTTCAAAGCTGTTTGTCAGTCACCCTCCTCTCAGTCTTTTCCTTGGAAGGAAGTGTGCCGATTCCCCCTATTAAGGGTTTTTGTTGGGAAGTGGTATATGGGAAAATTAACGCTCTGGATCACTTGCAAAAGAAGAGGCCTTTTTTTGTGTATTTCCCCGAATTGGTGCACTCTTTGTAAATCAGATGGTGAATCTTGTTTATCACTTACTAATTTTCTGTTCATTTGCTGCAGAAATTTGGGAGTGGTGTTTCTCTTTGTTTGGATGCAGGTGGAATATGCCAATGGAGATTAAGATGTTATTTGACCCATCTACATTTGTTTGGCTGAAGATAAAGAGGAAGAGTAATGTGGAGGTGCACTACAACAGCAATGATGTGGACATTATGGGAAGAAAGAAATGCTAGAATCTTCGAAGAGAAGGAGAGAAGTAAACAACAAATTATGAATTGTGTAATGACCAAAACCATACATTGGTTACAAACCATGGAACTGTTTAGACATTTCTCCTTTGATGTCATTTGGAGGAATTGGTTTTCAGTGGCTTCTAGTTCAGTGTAGAAGAGTAAAACATGGCTGGTTTGGACAACTCCCATTGAAGGCTTTATGAAACTGAACTTTGATGGGAGTAGTCAGGGCAACCTAGACCTTTCTGGAATTGGAGGGACCATAAAAGATAAGGACGGGAATCTGAGAGCACTCTACTCAGGACCGATGGGGAATGGAGACTCCTTAAGGGCTGAACTGTATGCAGTCCTACAAGGTATACAGATTGCAAGTGAGATAGGCTTGGAGAATTTGGTGATAGAAGGGGACTCCAAGGTGGTGGTGAGTTGGCTTAGAGACCTAGACTCAATGATATGGTGCAATGTTTTTGAACCGTTGTTGACTCAGACGGTCAGACCGTTTGGCCCAAAAACCGTCCAAGCAACCGGTTCCGTTTCACCCTTAACTCTTTCTTGGGTCAAAAACCATTGGCTTGGTCAGAAAACTGCTGACCTAGGTAGTCAAACCGCCGATTCGTTCGACCCGGACAGCGGTTCGCGATTTAAGAAAGTTGTAGAGGATAGAGAGGGGAGAAACTGAGAGTCTGAGACACGAACTCGGATCTGAGATCCAGCACAAGAAGAATTGAGAGTCTGAGACACAAACTCAGATATGAGATCCAGTACAAAGAAGAAGAAGAAGAAGATTGTAGAGGTTGCAAAGAAATTACTCGGAAACCGGTAGCTAGAACGATTCTGTTTCTAGGTCGGTTTTTAAAACCATGATATGGTGTTATAGAAATGAAATGAAGAAATTCAAATGGGTAACACAACATATGAATTTGACTATACAATGAGTGGGAAGGGAGGCTAATGCATTTGCTGACTATCTAGCTAAGCAAGGAGTAACTAGGGATTCATTGTTTTGGGCCCAATTGTAATTTTTGTGCTGTTTTCTTTTAAAGAGTGAGGTTGCACCTCGTAAGGTGAGGCACACGCCTTTTTGAAGCAAGGCACAAAAAAATACAAAAAAAAAACTAAAAAATAAAAAATGTCAAAAATTCAAAAAAATATATTAAGCATAATATTGATAAAAATATAAACTTAAATTTTAAAATAAATGTTTTAAAAAGCCTATTATCTAAAATTAAAAGGCATAAACATAACGTGCAAAGCGTATTCAAATGAAAGTTTAAAAATAAAATCAAACATATAAAACATTTTCAAGCATGTTAAACCCACAATCTCTTTTTTTCCTCAAGTACATTACTTCAAGTAGCTAATGTGATGTAAAACATATTGCATTCCTGATTCTATTAGCCGCCTTTTGCCATGCCCCTCGAGGCAACCCCCTATTTGTTAATGTTGTTCATTCATTCATCCTAATAAAATATCTTCTTAAAAAGCAATTAAAATTACAAAATGATTATTTTTTGTGTGAGAACTAAGGATTTAAGACCCTAACATGGACTTGTTTGGGCTTGCCTCGAGGGGTGTGGTACAGGGATCTGAGGGCAGAGCCCCTGGCCTAGCTGCTAGGTTCAAAAAAAGCAAAAAAGTGTGAAATTTTCGAAAGGCACATGCCTGGGCTGAGGCGCAAGGTGCATTAGGCGCACACCCTGGTGCACCAGGCATGTGCCTTTTGAAAGGGCTGTACCTAGGGACTTAGGTGAGGCGCATACCCTAAAATATGCCTCGCTTGTGTGCCTAGGCATGCCTTTTAAATCACTGGGTGAAATGAGAAGACATGGAAAATGGATTTGAATCAACTTTTTGAGAGATGGAGAAGAAATAAATGATTCTAAATAAAAAAAAATAAGTAGCTTTTAACAGTAATTATGTTTGATACATGGAGAGTGCCATGAATGCACTTTTTTCTAATTCTGCAATTCTAGTCTTCCCACTCATTCATCTCAGCTATAGTCATTTTGAACGTGTATGTTGGCATCTAGGAGTAGTCCAAATAGGTGATATAATGAGGAAAAGAAAACTAAGATGATTTGGTCATGGACTCATGTACAGAGAAGACCCTCTATGACACTAGTGAGAAGTGATTTGTTGCTGGTTGAAGGGTCTAGAAGAGATGGGGACAGGCCAAAAGAGACATGGATTGAAGTAGTGAGAAATGATTTGAAGGCCCATAATTTAAGTATTTAACAATGGATTATGGCACTGAACAAAGTGGAATAGTGCAACAGGATTCATGTATTCCCATCTGGTGATACAAGGCTTGATTGAGAGGAAGAAATTTCTATGACATCACAAGTGTTGAAATTGTAGTTGCTGTTACTAATTAAGTGATGAGCTTGGTTAAGAAAGGGACTGAGTAACTAATATTGAGTGAAAGGGTAGAGTTTGGTAAGAGTGTTGCTGCTGTTGGTGTTGGAAGATAGATGATGTCAGTATTGTCTTATTAGTTTGGTAAGGGGTTTTATGGATGATTCTTGTTTTAGGGGTTGGATTTCTAGGCAGTTATTATCCTTTGTTTAGGTCTGGGTTCCAAGTCTCCCTCTTTCACTAGGCAAATTTAGTTTAAAAAACCATTGCTGCAGAGCTAAACAAACCCTTTTAACATCTGGCCATTTCAGAAGTCCTTATCCAATAATGGTCTAGAAACCAGATCACACATGATTCCTCACTGGGCAAAACCAGGTGGGGTCAGCTAGTGATCTTCTCTGGTTGACCTGTTAACAGAATCATATAATCTTCCCTGCATCAATATGGTAAAGAGAAAGGATCCTACATGTTCCTCTCATTGCCCTTTATTCATGGGCCTAAATTCAGCTTAAAATCCCTTTCCACATGGCCAAAGAAGCCCTTCTTTTGGCACATATTTTGAGTTAAAGATGCGAACTTTGGATGGTTGGTGTTTCTCAAGGAATACTCCAATACAAGATTGAGTATGTGACTGATGCACATATGGCTGATCTAGAGGGTTGGTTTTATGATTTTGGCCATAGTTAATTCTATTTTTAGGGTTAGAGATCATAGATTAGTTGTATCTTCTTCAGTGGAAACTTTGCTGTATGAGATTCTTTTTTTCCACAACTTGGGCTCATGTATTCAAAAGGTCTTTGTTTCTTATCTTTTTAAAGTTGATAGACCATTATTAGTACACAAGCACCAATAAAAGGCAATTTAGAACTTAATAAACCATTAAAAAGGTGTAAAACACATACGAATGTATAAGAGGGTAATTAAAAAAAGGCAAACCTTTGAGAAAGTGCATGTTTGTGCCAAGAACAAGGTGACCAGGCTTATGTATTAACCTTACATGCACCTGTTAGACTTCCTTTTTTGGGATATAGTCCCAAACACAAGACCCAAATAAACAAGGGATTATTAGATTGGATATAGTTCCATCATTGGCATTGCACCAGGAATAGATATTGGGTGAAAAACATCTCTTAGGCCTCCTTTTTAGGAGCATATTTCGTGTATTAATCTTATTAAGTACCACTTTCTAAATCCCAACAAAAGCCCAAATCTTAGGAAGGACCTGCTTGCTCACAGCTCTTTCGCTGGGAATAGGACTGCTGAAAAGAAAGAATGTAACAAGAACAATCTTAAGATCCACCTCCCCCCCCCCAAAAAAAAAAAAAAGATGCGGCAAATCTTATTGAATTATTGTATCATCTAATTTTAGAAATATTTCTTTCTTTGTGTCAGACACAACTGTTAGAAACCATATTGGTAAAAGAGTATGGAGGTGCAGAAGATTTACTTTTGGGGGAGTTGCAATTTGCATTTATTGCATTTCTGGTATGTGCACTCCAATATGGAATTTTTGTATATTTGTCAATTAACTATATATGAATAAAAGATTATCTAAATCTATATTACATTTGATAACATGCAGATGGGGCAATCACTTGAAGCATTTTTTCAGTGGAAAGCTCTAGTTAGTCTATTTTTCAGCTGTTCAGAAGCTGTAAGTATTGGTTAACATTTATTTGCCAATTTTCTAACATTAATGAAATTTTAGGTTGAAACATCATTGAGCAGCTTATGATGGACATAAAACCAGTTGTTGCTTTATAAATTTTTAATCTTGCCATATAATTGTCTAAACAAACATATTTTATATACTGTTTTGCAGCCTTTTTGCACAAGGACTCAATTGTTTATAAAGGTAATGTGTTGAATTTCCTCATTAATTTGAAACAGTTCTCTTAGGTTCTTAATCATGTGAAAACAAACAATTGTGTAGTTGTGGTAATCTTACTATATACCGATGTTTTAAAACATGGAGGCGTTCCACTACCTAGAGGTGTGAGGTGTACGTAAGCCTCCCGAACACAAGGAGGCGTAAGTTTCCTTAAGAGGAGGGGGGATCTCATTTTTTCTAAAAATCTTTTATATTAAGAAGAATAAAGATGCATAACATTAGTTGAAAGGGGGGGCTTGTCTTTCTTTTTTCACTTTTTTTCTTCTCTTTCTTTTTCTTTCCCTTCCCTTTCTTTTCCTTTCCTTTCCTTTCCTTTTTTTTTCTTTTTTCTTTTTTTTTGTCTTTTTATATAAGATGTGCATGAGGCGTACGCCTCTAGCACGCCTCATGAAAAAAGCGCAAGAGGTGTATGCCTCAGAGGTGTTAGTGCCTCTGGCATACGCCTCAGGGCGTTTTGGGAGCGCCTCACCTAGAGGTGTGCCTCTAGGCGTACACCTCCCACGCCTTTTAAAACACTGCTATATACTAGTTGGGACCCATGTGATGCACAGGCTTTGTTAAGAAAAATTGAAGACGAAGGAGCTCATGTAATTAAAGTACAAGTATAGATGAAATGGGTCAAGTTGATCCCGAGCTACTGATTGGTGGGGCTCAGTTGGTACTACCACTGGCTTGTTCTAGTAGACTTGGGATCGAATCCTAGTGCCACCAAGGGTTTTGGGGTTATGGGTATGGGAGATGGGCTACCCTCCATTGTGTAGCCCAATGAAGCAAGAACATAAAAGATATTGAGCCAAATTTTGATAGTGTATTAACAGTTTTAAGGCTACCCATGCTCGGCCTAGCCCACACCTGAAGACTAGTAATTTGTCTAGGCTTGGGATAGGGACATGCTTGCCCATGTTAATTGTAAACTATGATTTTTTACAAATTAAAGTTTTTATTTAATTTTAGTCAACTATAGAAAATTATAAAAATTTGTTATCTATATATTAATATATACCATATACCTATATAAAATTTGTTATCTAAATATTATATAATAATATTTACCATATACGTATATAACTTCCAAGCTGAGCTTAGGGGTTGCTTAGCTTGGGCCCAACTTGCACTATGTGTGGGTTAGGTATGGTTCCAAGCTAGGCCTAGCTTAGGAATGACAATGGGGCAGGGTAGGAATGGGGAGACCCTTCCCATCCCCATCCTTGCCACTGGGGATAGGGATTTCCCCATCCCCATAGAGATCCCCGTTCGCCATTTCTTTTAAGATGTCAACTTCATTTCATTCCAAAAAAAAATTAAAAATAAAATAGTTACAATTACAATCCTATCAAAATAGATCCAAGTATATTCAAACATATTCGACCGTATTTTTTAAAAGTATTGAAACAAAATCATTAACTAATTCATAAGAAAAACGTAAATATTCAACATAAATCCCAAGTTTTGGACCTCAAGGCCTTAAATTAACTAAAAAATCTATATATCTATGGTTTGGAATTGTATATATAGCAAGGATCTCCCCATCCCCATTCTGTACCCACCAAAGGGATGAAAGTTAAAAAATATTGAAGCAAATTCATTAACTAATTCATAAGAAAAACACAAATGTTCAACATAAATCCCAAGTTTTGGACCTCAAAGCCTTAAATTTACTAAAAGCCTAAATATCTATGGTTTGGAATTATATATATAGCAAGGATCTCGATGGGGTGGGGTGAGGAGTGCTCTCCCCACCCCCGCTCCGTCCTCACCAACGGGATGAAAGTTTCCCCATCCCCGTTTCTACAGGGGGAAACCATCCCCATGCTTGCCCCATTTTGGGGAAAATCCCCACAAGGATTGGGGAAATGGGGAACATTTCCATCCCTAGCTTAGCCTAGAAGAAAATAGTTGCTTGAGCTCGAAAATTTGTAGGTCTAGCTGGTCAGGCTAGGTTATAAATGGTCATCTCTAAGTAGAAGGAGCCTTATGACATTTCCAATTAAGCCATTATTGTTTCTATTATTTTAATTAATTTTATTATTTTTGTATGGAATGCAAATTATTTGTTTTATTACTTTAAATGATCTTTTACTTTTTATTATTAATTTTAACTTTTCTATTAATATTAGTTATTTTTAAATGGAATTCAAATGCATTTTAATTTTTTTCTTTATGAACTACTAATTTTTATTAGTTTCTTAATTTTTAATAATTGCTAGATAAAAACTTGCTGAACTTTAATTTTTTATTAGTTTTAATTATTAGATTTCAAAATATAGTTTTTTTTTGTGATTAATGAATTAATTAGAATTTGACTATAAAACAAATAAATGCAATTTGAAAGAGAGTAAAACTCCCCCTCCCCCCAAACAAACGTTTGGGATGATGGTAACTCTTGGCATTCAAACTATTGGAATGCCACCAATTGGTGGGACTCACTCATGAATGGTTATTTATGTAATATGATGTGGAATAAAAATAAAGATTCAAAAAAGGAGAAAAAACCACGCACGCACACACACACATACAAAGAGCCCTCTATGTCTAACCCAAGCATTATTTTTGGGTGATTTAACTATTTATAATATTTTTATTAACTAAGGGCCTGTTTGGCAAGTCTTTTTGGAAAGATCTTCTGGTAGCTCTGATAGTCAAAAGACGCATTGAGCTTTTGCATGAAGATCTGAGCAGCCTGAAGCTAGTTTGGCAGATGCACGTCTTTCCATGTCTTTCCGCATGAGAATAAAATGCGGAAGATGCTAAAAGCTTCATTTGGAGCTTCCTGAAATCAGCACAAAATGGGCTTCTCGTGTCTTTTTGGCGCTTTGGCTTTTGGCAGCTAGATCTTCAGCAAGCCAAATGGGAATAGACCGAAAATCGGTCTGCCCGGCTTGTAAACAGCCAAAAGACCGCATGGCCAAATGGGCCCTAATTTTTTAACTTTATTTGTTTGTGCGCCAAGCTGAGCTTGAAGTATTAGTCCTAGGCTTGGCCTTGAAATTTGTGGGTCTGATGCAGGCCCAGGCCTAGCTGAAATGATCACCCCTAAGCAAAGCATGTTTGGTTTATTATTCATTTTTTCAAAGAAAGAAAAGAAAAATAAAAAGGAAAGAGTCCATGAATTTTAAGAAATTTAATGGCGTAATTGAGAGGAGAGAGAATTAGTGAAATGAGTTATTAGAGGAGAAAGAGTTAATGGCAATCTTAATGAGGAGAGATAATCAAAGAAGTTAATGAGAAACAGAAGAGAATTAATGGTGAGTTGATGAGGAAATATGAAAGTCTTAAAGTTGATTGGCTACTTGAGTTATTTTGTTCAATTTTAAAAACACAAAAATAGAGAAGGGATGGGAAAGAAAGGAGAGGAATGCTGACATGTCCTACTTTGTTTTAGTGTGTATACCCATTTTCATGGTATTTATTCAATGTTTGTTGGACAATTTTGATGAACAGAATCAACAGATTGCTTTATCCAGTTAATTGATGTTGCAACAATTTCTTATCTAAAACAATAATATAGAATAATAACAATAATGAATATATTAATCACAACAAATGTCCATGTTAGTTGTTTTCTTCATCCTTTATGTCAACTACTATCTGACGGTTTGTAGACTGCAGTTTATAAAAGTTATCTACTACCAGTTGAAGTATGGTTTTCAGAAAGATTCTATAAATACATCAGCCGTGCAAAAGGGGGCATCAGTGCTCTTAGATGATTCATGGCTTTCAAAGGACAGTTTTTTGCACCGTCTTTGCAAGGTAATCTTATTTATTTATAATTTATTTATTTTTCTTTTTATTTGGCCGGGTGAGGATTTGGTAAGGTAGTTTTTTTTCTATAATTGAATCATGATGTACGTGAAAAAAAAAACATTGGTTTAAATATCTGAAAACTGTAACTGTCACCAAGGATATCTGTAACAAAGCAACTCTATGGAGAAAGAAACTTGTTAAAATGTTTGATACATCTGGTGGGCCAGTCATAAATTACAGGAAATACACTCTGTCACCAATTTTTCTTGGTTGCATTTTAAAGTCACTTTTCTTGAAGGAACTCAGTGTTGGGTTTTTTTTAATGGCCTTAAATGGCATTTCTCGCTTCTGTTGATCTTATATTTTTTTAGCATTACTTTTTCTGATATTTGTATGGGAATTTTATTTCCAGGATTTCTTTTCTTTAATAAAAGAAGCCTCAGTTGTTGATGGAGATCTTCTATCATGGGTTTGTATTCTTATACCATCCTCCGTGGCTCTCTCTTGTCTCTCAATGTTCTTCATGCTTTAATTTCAAATAATGATTCTCAAAGATTAATAGATTATATGCAAAGAAATGCCAAACTCATGGCTATTTAATTCATCAGGATATTTGCATTTTAACTTGCTTTTGACTAAAGGCCATCGCCCATTATTGGTCATAGCTATCTGGGGTCTTGGGAGGGGTAGACTGAATATGGTCCTAACCCTTGCATTGTTTGCACAAAGTGGGTGCTCTCAAACTTGAACCCACGTTCTCATGCTTTCAAGCACGAGATTTACATCAACTGTGTAGAGGAAATTTAAATATACCTATTCGATAAGCATCTTAGTTAAGTGTCAGGGAGAACAGTTTTCTTCCCAGCATCTTCACTTGGATTCAAGGCATGCATGCTGTGAAATGGTTCCTCAGATGGTTATGCACTTCATAGTTCATTCAATGCGTCATGTTCAATTGATAGTGTATGAACTACGAACTATCGTATGTCCAGCTTCAAGCTTCTTCTTACCAGATGATACTCCTATTGCTTTATGATATGTTGAATGTTAGAGTTCTGAACAAAATTTGGATATGATGACATCCATATAGTTAATAGAGCCATTGTGAGCACAATTCAGTCTCTGATGCCAAAGTTGGATAAAGCTTTAATTAATGGAATTCTGCATTAGAGGTATTAGGATGAATACTATTACATTGAAACTAGGAAAGATTCTATTTTGAAAGTTATCTGAATTAACCCACATTGTTTCAAACCTCGGTAAACATTAGGAGTCTAAATTGGTGGTTAGCATTAATATCCATGGCATCTGGCTGATACATTGTAGATGCAGTTTTGAGTTTCAGTTGATTGAGGTCCACATTGGTTTATCTCATATTGGTTTTTGTGGCTTTCAACTTGTACACTCAAATTCTCAATTGTTTACATGGCAGAAACTAATTGATGTTGCTTTGGGAAATTTCTAACTTCAGTCTTTTGATATTGTAGACATACAAACTTAAAGAATTGCTTGAGACCACTCTAGGGTGGGAATTCCAGGACAGTGCAGTAGATGGCATCTATGCGGAAAATGATGATGAGGTACATCTGGAACTTTGAGACATTATATTGCGGGCTTGCTTGAAGTAAACATGTAGCAAAGAGGTTGAGACAAGATAGGAATCTTACCCGTGGCAATTTCTTGCGGCCTAGAAGTGATATAGTGTTCTCCATATTCTTGAGGGCAAGTTTTAGCTCAATAGCTCCCACAGGGAAAAACGCTGGCCTCTTTCTAGGGTAGAGCTCATCTCATGGAGTATAGATGTGGTACTTCTAAGACAAGTTTTACCTATCTGATGTACATTGTGGATTGGCCATGTTGTTGACTTGCTGTCGAACTGGCTAGAGGGTGAAGTCATCTGACACATGGATTTGGTCAATCCAGCAAATGGAATTGGATAACCTCTCTTTTCTAATTTCCAGTATGGCAGTAATCCATGTTTGCTCAGTAAATAATGGTGAAACTTATCCATTTTGTAGTTTGCTCCTGTTGTTGAACTGTTGGATGACGCAAGTTTCAGTGAAGCTTCAGCTGCTTAAAGCGACAGTTGACAATTACAAGCTCTGATGTGTAACAAGTTCAATCAAACAACGCGATTCTGTGGTATCTCATTGATCAGCAGTTGCCATAGCCAGGGTGTTCAATCGCTTGATCCCAGACATGATGGCTGTCCATGGTTCAAAGCATACATTAACCCGTTTTTGTAGTCACAGAGGGCAGAACTTAGTTTCCAGTATGTATATCATGCTACTGTTGCATTTAAATTGTAGATCTGAAGTTCTGATGTGAACGCAGAACAAATGACTCAAGGAATGGATAAAACATTGTTCCATTTCGTAGGTAGAAATTACACTAAATCAATGTTTTAGATGAGCATAAACAAGTCATATGTAATGTATGAACTACTGGATCACAATTGGTAAACAGTGAAAATTGATAGAACTAAAATATGCATGAGACTCTTAATTCTTAGAAACTCAATATAATTTGTGTTAATATTTAAAATTATATAATTTTTAATATTTGTCAACTGAGAAAACTTGAAGCAACAAGCGGTGTATCCATGGCAAGAAATCATCAACCGACAGTTTCAGTGTCAGTTTGTGTTGGGTTCATATCCACCAGTGGCCAGTGCCACATATCCTTAACTTCAAAAACGGATACATATTGATATTATTATTATTATTATTATTATTATTATTATTATTATTATTATTATTATTATTATTATTATTATTATTATTATTATTATTGTTGTAATTGTTGTTGTTGTTGTTGTATGTCTTATGTACTGAAAAAAAAAAAGCCTTTTTTGTGGTTGTCTATTCTCGATAGGGCCAGAGGGGTATATAAAACTCTTTTTTATCATTAAAATAGCATTACTATTATAAAAAAGTATCTACATCCAAAGATAAGTCCAAACAAGGAGGTGGAACACCCTCCCACAAAAAATCATCCAAAGTACATTTGGCTATTCTCACCATAGAATGAGCAGCCATATTACTCATATTTAACTTTTGAAAACAAAAAGGACCTAAAAGGCCAGTAACTTTGTCCAGCAAAGATAAATAAGAAAATGGAACATCCCCAATAGAAGCAGAAGCTAAAGCATTAATTAGGACAGAGCAATCTGAGAAGATAAACATGGCCAAAAAAATCCCTTTCCTTTGCAAAACACAAGGCTTTCTATATTGCCCACAATTCTGTCTCTATTGGTCCTTCTCGAATCAAACATCTCCCCCCTGCGGCAACAAGAAAAGTTTCATTAGAGTTATAACAAACAAAGCCAAGAACCCTTGTCTGCATCAGTAGTTCTTTCATCGCAGAAAATATAATGCATTGAGGAAATAAAAGATCGAGGCACCACATGACAGGAAATGTCTAAGTTATCACTCAAACACTGCTCCAGAAGAGCATAAGAACATCTTAAAAACCACACTAATAGTAGATACCAAACGATTAACTGAAAGAGTTTGATTTCTGAAAATAACATTATTTCTAATAATCCAAATATAATAACAAGAGATCACAATCAAGATAGAACATTCACTTTATCCGTAACTGCAGCAAAAAGATTCAAAATACCAATAATAGTATCAGCGGCTTCAGAATTAACAAAGAATTCTACTCTCACACTCCAAGGAGAGTTGAACCATAAAGCTCTTGCCACCAGACAGTTAAAAAATAGATGTATAGCATTTTCATTTATATCACCACAAAAGACACAGGAACTGGAAATATTAAAACCTCTCTCATGAGCAAAAGAGGCAATCGGAATCACCCTCCATAAAAACTACTTATATCTAGGAGCAACTTATAGTTTCCAAATTTGCCTAATTAACCTTTCAATCTCCAAGATAATCAAAACTCCTTCCTTCTCCAGATTGACCTATAAGCATTCTTAATAGTCAAAGACCCATTCTTTGCTAACCTCCAACTGAACATATCAATCTGTACATTCCTAAAAATGTGCACATTCAAAATATAAGACACCCAACTATCCCCCAAGAAGCTAAAAAACTAGTTCCAAATTCCATTTCCCCGTAGAATCAAAAGGCTCATTAAAAGATATGTTTCTATTTTGCCGGGTGACAGGACCAATAGGAGCTGTAAAGAGATTACGGACTTGAATCCAAGGCACATCCAAATATTCTCATGAGAATTCAAAGACACCTTGAATCCCAAATTAGGCTTAAATAGAAAGATGGATATATAAATGCTTTTCCAAATTCTAGAATAATTAGATTTCAATTTATAAGGAAAAATACTGTGAGATTGAATATGTTTTACTTCTCAATAACTTCAACCAAAGCCTATAATCTTGATTAATAAATATCCAAGCCAGTTTTAATTGAAAAGCTACATTCATTTTATTGGCTTTCCAAATCCCAAAACCACCATAAGAAATAGGAGAATAAAGCTAATTCCAATTTGTCCAAGTAAAACCCTTAAGATTCTTCCCAAAAGACCACCAAAATTGCTTCTAAACTTTATTGAGTTTTTCATTCAATCCATTCAGAAGAGAAACAACAGACATGACATGATTAGGAATGGATTGAAGAGTCGATTTACCTGCTTGAGACAAATGCAACTTTCCACCCATTCAATTTAGGTTCAAACTTATCTAACAGATATTCAAAAGAGGAATTCATATTTTTAGTCCAGAAAAGGGGAATACCTAGATACTTCGAATGAAAATCAAGATTTCCCATTCTCGGTTGTCTTGAAAGAAGCTTCCTCACTTATGATGAATATTGTTACTAAAATAAACCCCAGATTTTTGATAATTATAACTTGCCCCCAAAAATCCCGAAACTTATTTACAATCTCCAAAAAATTATGAATTTTCTTCTAGAGGCCTTAATAAACAAAAACACATCATCCGCAAACAAAAGATGAGAAATATAAGGAGCCTCCCTAACTATCTTAATACCATTTATCTTCCCTAACTCTTCTTCCTTAATAAGCATACGTTACAAGACCCCCGTGCCTAAGATAAAGAGATACAGAGATAAAGGACCCCCTTGCCTCAGACCTCTAGACATGATAATATGTCCTTCAGCTGAACCATTAACCACCAAAATGGAATAAGTGGCAGTTGAGTCCTGATATCTTATACGTTTTGGGAAAAAAAAACATGCTTTAAAAAATCTCCCTAGAGTTATCTTGTCCCAGCCTCTGTCTATTCCCACTGATTTCAGTTCTTCGATTTTACAAAATTTCAATTTCGGCTCAATTTGGGTCAAGTGTACATGCAAACATGTACGATGCATAGGAGATTAAGAAATACTTTATACAAGGTTTTGCATTGAACATATTTGTATCTATTTTTAGGTGTGAAAATATATCAACTAAAAAAGTAAAAAAAGGAGAAATATACTTCAGGGTAATTAAAATTAATAATTTTTTAAGTATCAAGATTTATATTGCTTTCCTTATCTACACACATATTTTAATCCTTTTACTATTTTTTAATGTTTTCTAAGGGTACCCTGAAGTTTATTTCATTAGTAATATAAAATAAGGTAAATTGCATATAAGTATCCTATACATTTTCCTTTTTTTTTTGTAGAATAGTATTCTATACTTTGGGGCTAATCTCACTTTACTACTTGAACTTCAAAGCATGCCACTAGAGTACCTAAACTTCCAAAAATTGCCAATTAATACCCATTGCTAATAGTCCATTAGTTATTTGTATCACATGATGGCATGTATGACTTAATTTAAAAAAAAAATACCAAAATACCCTTTTTAATATTTTTAGACCATTTTACCTTGATTGCCTTACTGATGATGGCAAGAATTACTTGTATTTTCTAGGAACAACATCAATATAAACCCCTCTTTATTATAGATTGAATAACCCAAAAAAAAAGGATTACAAGAATGTCAATTTAATTTAAATCCCTCTTCTTCGACAACAACGTCGTTTTCCCCGACAACATTTTTTCATGTAGCTTCTCTACTAGGAAGCACTAGTTTTTCGGTAAAAAGGTTAGGGCATAAAGTGAACAGTGGTGCCCAATTGCAATGAGAAAGGATTTAAACATGGCTATTTTGACCAATTCAAAATTATGGTTTTCTTGTTCGTTCAAAACTCAAAAGGGTATTTGTGTCTTTTCACATGCCATTTAACGTTAGTTAACGATTTTAAACTAAACTAACAGTTTTTGAAAGTTCAAGTACTATAATGACATGTTTTGAAGTTCGGGTACTATAATGAATTAATGATCATCATTCAAGCTGTATCCCAATTCTATGGGGTTGGTGACATAAATCCTTTTTTACCAATTCCATTTTGTTCAGTGTCATGTCTATCATTGATACTTTTTGATGCAATATTCATCATTAAATTATAGGCATTTATAAATCATCTGCTATTACTTCCACTCAAGTCTTTTTTCTGCCTGTCCCCGGCTCTTCTAACCCTTTCAATTTATAATAGATCACCTTTTCTAATAGGTGTTGTAAGTGGTCTTTTTATACACCCAACCAAACCGTTTCAATCCACTTTTTCTCATTTTATCATCTTTTAATCATTATTAATAATGATCGACACAATACCTAAGATTGTGTTTGGTATCATTGTTGTTTCTACAAGAAACTGTCGGAGTTTATCAATACAAAATTTTGAAAAATTATAATCACATCACATCAGATAACCACTTCCACTAAAAAATATAGGCATGGGATTGGATGTTGGCGCTTACATAGAAACATCCAATTTGATGTTTCCAAAAAACCAACAATGATAAAAATATATATATTCTTACAAGCAAAGGTGGTAATGATACCAAACACAACCTAAATTGACAGAATAGTCAAACGATTGAATTGAGAAAGGTAAGATAAAATTTTATTCAAGAAAGATTGAAAAAACAGATTACAACCAAGGCCCTCAAGGTCAGGAACCAAACACGATATAATACATTGTAACTCAAAGAAAGCCCCTGGATCTCAACTAAGAACAAAGAACTGAAGCTTGAAGGCCCTTGGCCGCAGCCACCCAAGAGATGAGCTTGCCGAAGGCAAAGGCAATCAAGCAATCCATATTAAAAGCCTTGTTAAATATGGCTGCAGACAGGACACTCCAAATGCACCTCGCCAACTTGAAAGTTGGAACCGTGCTTCAGCTCCCAAGTCCATAGCATATATATCCTCAACACAGCATCGCATACACCACTGGAGCCCCAAACCGGACAGAAAATGACTCCAGATTGCAGATCCTCGCCAACTTATAACAGAGAGCAGTGAATGAACAGATGCTTACCGTCTTCAGCCATTTGACCACATAGAACACACAGCAAGTCCTGAATCTACACACCCCTCTTAACAAGGGAATCTTCCCTAAGACATCTATTCAGACCTGCTGCCCAAACCAAAGTATTCACTTTAGAGGGAACTGAAGGATTCTAAATTTGGGCTGCATATGAATGAAAATATGAAATAGAATAATCAGATATGCCAAAATTCGAATTATTTTTGGTTAATATTTAGATTTGAATAAACTTTAGATATCATATCAGGTCTAAATCGTATTTGGGTTTGACAAATGACAATAATAAATCCAATGCAAACCTCATGTAAGTCAAAGGATAAATTACCCACTAAAAATCCAAATCCAACTCTACAGGCTACGGCAATTAGGGTTTATATTGTTCCCAACTCAGAACAAAACTATAGACCATGTTCTTTCATAACAAGTTAAATCAGGACCATCTATCATGGGCCTTCTTATTGGAGGACAGAAATGGAGAATAATCTAAAAAAGTATTGAAGTCCGTGTCGCGCCTGAACCGGCCGAGTTGGAGTCTGGAAACGAAAAGAAGAGGGAGGAAGCAGGAATGACCGCTGCTCTGCTTAAATCCAAAGGGTTGTCTAGCTGCTGACTGCTGAGCCTTTCTTTTCTTTAATGGCAATTAGCAAAGTTTGGTTGCTAAGTTTATTAGTTTCGTTTACCACAACAAGGTCTGAAGAATATCATAGAGAGAGAGAAACTCAGAGAAGTGAGAATTCGTGACAGACAACCAAACCTAGTGAGTGAGTGAGTGAGTGAGTGTGAAATGGGGCTCTCGCCGAAATAAGGTTGTGTCGCCGGGTGCCCGTGTAACCTTTCCATCGAAGTTTCAGGCATTGAAGTCTCAGGGTAAGGAGAGGGTACGTCAGCACCTCACGCGTTTGTGATTTGCCGATGTTTTAATTTTCAAACTAGCTACTGTTGAGGCAGCAAAGTATATGAACTCGATACTCATCATTGAACAGAACCGCTTTACAGGTTGCCTCAAAACCCTTAATTTGGGAAAATGTCTCGGAGGGTATTTTGCCGCCAATGGTTGTTTTCGTTTCTCCACTGCATTCATAGGTCTCGTTTGCAAGCATCATCTCTTTCAAGGTTTGAGACCAACCTGAATATAGTTTTTCGTTTCTTTCTTTTCAATCTTCTATTTTTTTGTGGATTTGGGTCTATTGATCCCAATACCAACTGAAAATGCAGGTCTTAAGTTTCTCTTATGCCTCTCTTTCTCTCTCTATACTTCTTTCAAATGACGAATTCATCCTTGTTTCAGATTGGAATCTCGGAGTAGTTTATTTTATAGCATTTTAGAAACTCATATCGACAGTGGATACTTCCCCATGGTACAAGGTTTGTTCCTCTCTCTGCGAATGACGTGTTTAAAAGGGACATGATGTTAATGAATTTTATGTTCTTGTAGAAAGTACTTAATGAAACTATTGGTTATTGTTTTAAGCTGAACCATTTAAGAACAACCTCTTTAAATTAACGTCTCTGAAGAATGTAAATTTACCCACTCCAAACAAAACTCATCTATTCTTATAACACATGACCATTGGCTCTTGTAACAGTTTGACCTGATTGTTTAAAATTTCAGTTTTAGTAATACTCTTGGCACTTACACTATTATTTTCAAACTGCAATCTTGTTTTAGTTACATTATTTCTGGTACCTATGTATACATGTGTTGAGTTTCTTGATCACCCCAGCATGGCGGTCATACAGCCGTGGTGGACGCAATTATGACCTCTTTGGCAATGGAAAACCTGGTGATGAAGAATTCAGGAAAGCCTGGGAGAAACAGATGGATGAAGAGGCTTGTCTCTGGACAGGAAGTGATGATGATGATGATGATGGTAAAAAGGGTCGAAGCCATCTAGAAAATGAGATCGGGAAAGTTAAACAGAAAGCGAAGGAACACTCAGATCTTATTGATGCTGATGACAGCGATGAGTTGAGAAGTGTCTGGTCTGGAAGTGATGAAGAGAAGACGCTGTGGACAGGAAGTGAATGTGACGATGATGATGATATTCCTACTGAAGCCTATCCAAATGAAAGTAGTGATGCATATATAGACAAATTGTTTGAGTTTGAGGAGACACCAAAATACCGAACAATCTCTGAACTGTTGAAAGCTGAAAAAGAACCACCAGAGTTATCCCCAGGAAAACAAGCTAGGAAGCTTGCTGTTGAGAATGCCCTGAAAAAGTTGAAGAAAGGGCCAGATGGGCGTTATATCAATGTGTGGGAGGTTATGACTGATATTGACATTCTAATAGGAGCTTTTGAAAATATTGTTTCGGGCCCAGAATATGCAGAACTTAGAAAGGGAGGACCAAAGAAGCTAAACATGGAATTTTTTAAAGATATACAAGCACGTATGAGAGATCCAAACTTCAAGTTCTCACCTGAGCTAAAGTTGAAGCCAAAGAACAAACTGGTGTCAAGAAGGAAATGGCAAAAAGCCCAAGCAAGGCGGAGGAAGGATCAGAAACGTTAGGTAGTAATCCTTTTACTCTTCATTGAAAACAAGTTACATGTACACCCTTTGGATCTTTAATTTGTGCATTATTACATTGCTTTTAAAGTGCTTTGTTATGCTTACCAAATTAAAAATTACAATGAACACCATGTTGCAATAAATACAGAATATTTGTTGTTATAAGGTGGATTTTATTAAGTTATTAGATTTGTTTCTTTAAATTGGTTTCTTATTTCTTGATGGCAAATTCTTGGACGGGTTATTTAATAGATGCAACAGTTAATACTTTTTTGTAGTATGCATCTTATTATTCATGGTGACTTTCTTTTTATGCTTGCAGTAAGCTAGTTTTTTCTAGTTTTGTATTCTTTGTCCTTAATATCTGTTTGAGTATCTATTCATGATATGTGTATGGTGCAACAGAGTTAACATAGTGGACGGTCTTGAATATTCTTGAGGTAAAATTGCTTTCATTAGGCCTCTAAGGATTTGTCCTTATTGGATTAGATTTAAATCAAAATATTGGTGTTGTTCTACTTAAGAAAACTAACTGGACAAGTTAAACAAGGCAAGCTGTAGTGTACAGAATTTCTGCAATCAGGTTGGTTGAATTTAAGACTATAAAGTGAATTTAAAGGTCGAAAGGAAAGCTAATTTAATGATTAAATGAATTAGCTTTATGCATTCAAGGGTGGTTCTTCACTTGCATATGTGATCCTCAACTTTCCATGATGATTTCGTGCTTTCCATCTCATTTCTGCCACTGTGCCACATCGAGTCTGTCAAACAACAAGAGCTTGGCTGGCTGCTAGTCAGGATTGCTAAGAAGAATGTTACTGACCAAATTGTGGAATTCTGTGACCCTGAGTTTTCCATAGTTTATCCACATTCCATTGTTTCCTTAAAATTACTTACGTATCCCTTTCATTTAACCCAGTAATTTGTTCAGGATGGACAAAGGAAACCTGGAAATATTGCCAAGGCTCCAAAAATATACAAAAGCAGTTGGGTTCTCTCTTTTATTTGTTTTTGCTCTTTTCTTTTTTGGTGCAATATGAAATGTTAAATTAAAGCAAAACAGAGGGAATGGAGCTGCAGCTGCAAGTAGTCCACTCTATTACATTTCAAAAAGAGCTACTGTATATCCTCAGAGGGACACTTACATTTCAAAAACTGCTACACCATCAGTATTCATTGGCTTTACTAGTGACAATGTGAAAGCATGGGGATGGTTTAGGAAGTACATTTTCATTTCTGTAGTTTAAGCTCTGCCGAAGAATATGGACCACTAGGACTAGCCTCTGCCACATGTCATTATGGGTCTGATGATACTTATCTACTCTGCAGAGCTTGGCCAATGGTTCCATCTGCATGCAATTGAAGGGGATAAAACTGCAAGTTTTAGCTTGTTGCCATATTTCTTCAACATGACTTAACCAACCCTCTTTTTGAAAATACTCAAGAGATTTAGATAACCATCGTCTGAGCAGTTGAATGAGTAAACTGGTTCTGTCCCAAAGCAAATTCGCTTTGACTCCCAATCTATTTAGGTGGACCGTGGACACCGTGCAATCTATTTCATGGACAATGAAATACTCGGACCAAGGTTATGCATGTCTTACTGTGTCGTGCGCATCGTACGGTATCAAGTTATCAAAATTCAATGAATTCGGCTTTGGTCAGTGCAAGTTCGTATTCACACCATTTGAACAGTCTCTTGCAACCTTGCAATGAGAATAATTTTTCATGAAATAAAGTATATAAGTACAGAGATATTCCCAATGCAAGGCTGTAAAGGCTGTTTGAACAGCCGTTACAACAATTTTTGAGATCATATAAGCACCCCATATGCATATCTCAGCGTGTATTGGGAACATCTTTCATACTTGTCAATGGGAGATATTTCCAATACACAGTTGGGATGTGCTGTGGGGCATGCTGTGTGGATGCCAATGTAAACTCCCAGTTTTTTTATTGTGTGTGTCAATAATTTTAAACCTTTGGCTCTGATGACTACTAGTCCTTTCAATTTACTAGAAAGAAAAAAAAAAAAAGCTTTGATAACCGAAAGGAGAATTTATAGGTGCAGGGGAAAACAAAATCCACCTTCCCAAAACCCCTTTTATTTTTGTTTTGAAAGTGCAAAACCCAAAATACAAAATCACTTCCTCAGCCACTCAACCCAAACCCAATACATAAAAAGAAAAAGAAACAAACCTCATTATCCGTGCAGGTAGGGATTTTTAAATAATCCATCCTAAGATGTTGGTGAGATTTCCAGAAACATAATTGATTGAATTAAAATCCATCCAGTTTTCCGCCTCTATACCCTTGTTGCATGAAAGTTGGCAGGCACCCTAATTCCCTGTGTAAAAAAGCCACATTCATATTTTTTATAAGAGCCCTTGTTTTCCTTAGAGGCCAAAGCAATTCCTTTCATGATAGTTTCATCTATACGAATTGTTTTGTGCATTAATCTCCACATGAGAAAATCAACTTTTGTTGGAAAACTAGGGTCTCAAAAAATTTTATACCAATTGACCAATGGGCCCTGGGCTCTTACAAGGCCCCAAGCAGATTTTGAGTTGAATTCCTCTATGGGATTTAAACGTCAAATCACTGTCGTAGACAACAGTGAGCACCACATTAGATTGAGTTACCCTAATATTAATGATGTGCTCATGTTATCATCTACTTCATAAACGAACGGGCCCGAGCAAATCCAATTATCATAGCAAATCCAATTTTGAGTATATGACTTAGGTGGTAATTGATAATTTTGAAATCTGATGTTTGAAAAGTTGAAAAAAGTTAATTTTATGTATGAAGTCCAAAAAGTGGCACATATAATTTTTTTTTGTTTTTCAAGGCCTTTGAAAATATAGAAGGGTTTGTGTTTGGGTGTTCTTCTAATATATGAGATAATTACCTATTTTACTATTTTGCCCTTCAAAATATTTTGTTGGGTTCTCTCTCTCTCTCTCTCTGTACAAAGCCACCATTACTCTTCAACCTCCAAATGTCACAGAACACCACCATCACCCCCAATGCCCGTAGTGCTTGTTCAAGATTAGATGCAAACTGTAATATGGGGAAAGACAGTGTTCTCTTCTATTGTTAGAGAGGAAAAAACCTTGAATTGGATTTAAAAGAGGGGGAGATATAGGTCATTTCAAAAAGTTTTAGGGGGCATTTATGACTTTGACCAAGCTCTGAGATGTGTTTAATCCATTTACCATTTCAGGCCTATTAAAATTTGATTTCCGTTTAGCCAAGTCTCACCTGGCGGATTGAAAATTTGATTTAGCCTACACAAATGCCTAAGCCCCAAGGTTGTGACTTGTATAAAACCAACCCAGGCCAGTTGCGTCACTGATGAACTCATACCAAGAAAGCAAGAAGAATCCAAGCTGAAAATAAAATATCATCCTTAGACCACTTTATATGATGATGGATCACTTGACGACCTTTCAGTTGGGGATCCCCCTGTAAAATTCTTCTTCACTCACCGTACCAAAGGTCCAATTCACAATGTTCTTTCTCTTGAAGGGCTGTTTGGCAATGACATGATGACATATACTATTACTAGGAATTGGGAAACCTCCTGTATTTGCCCCATTGTAAGGAAGCCTACGTCACTACTTGTAACTTGTTGGGTGAAGAGCCCTCCCCCTTCATCTTTGTTTGACTGATTGAGTTGAGGTCAATGTCGAGTACTGAATTTCTGAGATTCCCAACTCCCAACTTCCCTTTTCTTCCCCCCCCCCCAACCCATTTTTCGCTTTGTTCCACTTGAATTTCGAATATAAAGTCTGACTAGGCTTAATAAGGGATTTTAGTTGTTGTCACCACTCACTACTCACCACCGAGTAAGAATATAGTAATTTAGAAGATCAAACTTCTCAGATTACCAGAGTGCACTGTAACCCCATTTCAGCAAAATCAAAGCATTTGCAACAAATTAAGTATTGAACCACTGGGTGCTGAATTCAAGTGGGTTAGAACCGTTGGGTGCTTTATGCAAATGACCCTGGTTGGAGAAAAATGAAATTCATTCCAAGTCGAATAATTTTCATATTTTGCAAAGTTTGCTGTGTTATTTTGCTTCCAAAGTTAAACAAAACCTTTTCCAATTGGATGCTGTTTTCCAAGGAAAACCATTCATTTTCCTACCAAATGTAAAATTCTAGGCATCTATGTAGTACTGGTGGTAGCCTAGTAGGCGGGGCGGGGGGGACCATACACTGATACAGAAGGGTGTTCAAATCTGCCCCCCACCAGATTGCCCCCCCAACGTCCCACAACGCATCCCCGCCGTGTATTGTGAACATCTCACGATGATGACATCATCACTTCACTTCTGATCAGATGTTCCCAATACACGGCTTGAATGTGCTCTGGGACGTTGTGGGGGGCAGATTTGCTCTCTGCAGCAGGCAGACAGAAAGCAGGGCATGTCCTCCCTCCTCTCTCCCGCACATCGCGCACATGCACGAAGAGAAGTGAGTTCATGACATCAACAAAATGTGCACGTGAAAATCACGTGTCCACCCCACCTAATTCCTGTACCCTACGGCCAAGCTGTCGGTAGCCAATGACCTTGTCCAGTAAAATAAAACCATGTTGACTCTTGTGGTGTCAAGGAACTTGATTACATTCTAATCTCCTTCTCTTTATTATTATTATCATTATTATGATCTTCATTTCCGTTGGTAGATGATATCTCACCATGTCCACACAAACATACAAGTTCAGAATAAAGAACAAAGGGAACACAGAAAACAAAATTGAAGAGAGAAATTAAGAACATCCTTTTAACAACCCCCATAAAACCAAGAAAGATTCATCACTCAGCAAATATCAGAGACATCTCATCTACCCCGCCACCCATTAGAAGACAGTACTGTCTCTACCTGTTGCCCATAAACCCACTTCTGTTTCTCTTTACATGATTGAACAGCCGTTAGTGTTTTCATCACTGAACATATAAGCTGCTGAATGATCAGCCCTGTTTTCAGGGTAAACGCTGGGGTATGGAGCAGAATTATAGTTATAATTATAATAATAGCCAGTGTTGGGAGGGATGATGGGGGACCTATAATACATCATCTGGGGTTGCATGTACCTGGTATCATTCATCATCATCATGTTGTTCACGTTATGCCTGTTCTGCAAGTTCATGACTGAAGAAGAGGGGTGTTGGTATCCTTGCATGGTGGGCATCATCATGGGTGGTGGTTGGTGTCCACCTGCTGCAAACCCGCCAGCAGCAGCTGGGAACCCTGCAGAAGACCCCTGAAACCTATTGTTAGTTTGCGCTTGAATCCCTACTCCATTGCCTCCAAGGCCACCACCATCAGCACCATGGCCATGAAATCCTGCTAGGTTCAACATGGGGTTGATGTCGTTTGCCTTGCCAGAATTGATATTTCCTCCACCTAAATGGGCATTGCCCATCTTTGTAGCAGCCATGTTCCTCTGATCTATCCCAATAGATGCAGCTTTCAAACCCATATTCTGGTTAAAGTTTCCTACACCCCCAGCCCCACCTTTCTTGCTGGCACTCCCATTTCCAGCATTGTTCACCTTGCCATTGCTGCTTGCGGGGATGTGAACAGCACCAGCACCACCCTTCTTGGCACTGTTGGCCTCATTCGCTTGCTGCCTGAGCATAGCCAGATGGCCCATCTTATCTCGGAGGAACTGTAAGTCATCTTCATCTTCATCTTCATCATCATCGGAGCAGTCAAATTCATCCTCTTCTGGACTGAATGTTGGGAACTTCGGCTGATTTTTGAAGGCCTGGAAACCCTTGATCGCACCTTGCTTTTGGTCCTTGTTGTTTTTGTTATCTTTGGCTCCACGAGACTGTTGCAGCTGTTGTTTTTGGTTTTGATTAGATTTTGCAGACCAAAGCTCTGCATGTTTACCGTATTTGACCAACTTCTTAATCAAAGTTCCAGAATCTACACTTCCTGAAACTGTGACCTTCTGTTGCTCTGCATCTATATTTACTGTGTATACACCTGAACCAGCAAAAACACAAAATATAATAAACAATTTATACCAATCAATGGCAGAATAGGGAATGGGCATGGGGGAAGCTCCACTGTACTCTCTGCTAGAGCCTTCATAGTTTTCACGATTTGCAGACAAAACCCACCAGCATAGCTACAAGAACAAAGACTCAAAACTTAAAAGAAAAGCAAAAAAACAGTAAGAAAGTGGGTACCTTCGATTCTCTGAAGAAGTTTCTTTACTTCCTGCTTACATCCATCACAATGTATGTTTACTTTAAGAACACAAGTCTGTAGAAGATAGAAAGAAACAAACCCAACAAACAAGAAATTTTTTGTGAGGAGAAAAGACCATATTCCACCTTTCTTGTCCAGGAAAAAAGAAAAGCCCAAAGAGAGAGAGAGAGAGAGTGGAAGAGACAGACAAACCTGGATCTTGAGGAACTTAAAGTCTTCATCTTTAGTCATTTCTTCAGTGCCGTTTAGAATGAAAATTTTCTCTGTACAAAAAGAGAAAAGAAGAAAAAACTAATGTGCTTGTGGTAAAAAAGGGAGCGCGAGGAGTTTCTTCAATAAATTCTTCCTCTTAAATTGCTCTCAGTGGCAACAACAAACCCACCAAACCAAACCCACATGGGGTTAAAAAGAGTTAAAACGAAAACGATCAAATTAAAGAATAAAACAACGAACACCCAAACAAAAGTAACAGAAAAAGAGAAATCAGAACGGGAGAGAGAAAGGGGACAGAATACAGAGAGAGAGAGAGAGAGAGAGGAAAAAGGGGTTTACAGTGAGGAGAAAGAAACGTTGGAGAGGATGAGGTTGAGATGTAGGTGGGGTAGGGAGGGGGTCTGAAATGATGTGATTTGACGTTAAATACTGAAAAATAGTAATTAAAATAATAAAAAAAGAACAGTGACTTGACAGTTCCATCACAGTCACATGTACCCCATTTTCTCGCGAGACTCGATATCTTTTCAAAACTGCAACTGCAGAAATTCTTCATTTCTTCATGAGTCAGGGCCAGAAAGATCAAACTTTCTGCGCACTCCTGATTTATTCGGGATTTCGGGTTTTGCTCTGATAAGTTACAATTATCTCCTCTCATGGTTCATCTATACTCTGGATAGATCAGTAAATAAAGCTTGCACTGTTGCGCCGTGGCTCATTTTGCTGCATATACATGAAGACATTCTGCGTTACTGTTGAACCATTTTCTGCAGATTCAGTCTTTCAGAGGTTGCCACTAATAAATATATGGGTACAATTTGGGTCCTGTAGCACAGCACCCTTTGCAGCTGGAGTTTTGCACTTTGGGGATCATTCACTCTGTTGATCCATTAAGATGCTGAGTCAGGAACCGTTGCCAACGGCTGAATTGGCTGAACTGAATAATCTATTCCTTTGTCTTTTATTCGATGAAATATTTAAATAAAATATACTTGAAGTTATAATAATTGATCCAACCTCAACTTCAGCCAGCATGCAACCTCACGTATTCATTTGTATTTATATGTATTATTTTTAAACAGAGCCTTTATAACAATGTAAAGTCATTCAGTTTATTTTTGAGACGATAACAGTTTTTGTTATTCTGGTCAATGGATTGGTCTAGGTAGAATTGGAATCAATCCGACAAGAAAATACTAAGAACCTAGAATTGAACCAAATTCGATAGGTTCTAGAATTGAGTCGGTCAATTTTTGGGATAATCGGGTTTGATCCAATGGATCCGATTATAATAAATCTACTGGAAATATTATATCTATAATACTAATTTATTTAATAAATTATTAATTTAATATATATATATATATATAGTTCGAGTTGAATCTAAATCGGTTCGGTTGAGTGGAACCGATTCCAAATCAATATGAATTGAAACAATATATCAAAAAAATGGAACCGACTCAATCGGTTTGAATTTGTTGCGTCCAACCGGACGTATTAACAGCCCTACTTCTAGGGTGCAATTTGGTCATATCCAACCCAATCCCTAATTGATCCAATCCCACAATTTTATATTGCACGAACTTGGATTTTAATTGGACCTGGCCCTTAGGTAATCCGATCCCAAGTTTACTTTTAATCAAATCTTATTCAATTCAAACCTAGCTTGATTTTATATTTATAGGGTCATTTATTAAAACAGTCCCTACAATTTTACAATTTTATGGATTTACTAAAACCTATCCTATAGTTTGTATTCTATTAAAACACCTCCTATAATTTGCAATAAATTTACTTAATCAATCTTTCATTATATAACAGTAGAAATGACAGTTTTGACCTTGATATTCATTTGAATAAATTTAATAAAAATGAAAATATTATTTTTGCCCCTAATAAAACATGAACAACCACTCTATTTGACACTATTTTGTTAAATTTGTTTTTTATATGAAATATTAAGGGTATTTTTGGAATAAACAATCCGGGACCTATGCCCATTTTCCACTCAGTTTAGATGATTATGTTACTATTTTCAGAGGGAAAAACAAAGGTCAATTAAGTAAATAGGTTGCAAATTATATGGGGTGTTTTAATAAAAGGAAAACTATAAGAAGGTTTAAGTAAATTCCGTAAAACTATAAGGGTGTTCTAATAAATGACCCTTATTTATACATATATAAATACAAATGTATATACATATTTATATGTATACACTCAAATGTATGATCATATAATATATATTATACACACACATTTATACTAATTTCAATGCGAGTTGGGCTTAGATCAGACAAAATAGGCTCCACCTCACACTCTGTTTAGGCTCTAGCCTTAGGAATAATTCTTGGGGTTGGGCCTAGGCTAACTTTAAACTCACCCCAGCCTGCGTGATTTGTACCTCCATGCTGCCTATAATATCAATCTTTATAGGCAGATGTAAGACCATAAGTCATGAAAGACCACTAACTTGGTCAACCCAACTCAGATCGGCCTATTTTCATATAAGATGCACTAAGGCTCAGTTCGTAAGGAGTGCAAATACAAAAGTGTACAGTGCAAATGCATTCAAAATAATACAAAATACAAGATTTTGCACTCCACATATTTGTATTTATACTCTTTCCAAACTAAGGCTTAGTTTAGTAAGAGCAGAATACAAATATGAACAATGCAAAATGTATACAAAATATAAGGTTTTGCACTATTTGTACTCCTACCAAACTATTCCAAATGTATACAAAATAAACATGTGCATATGTAGAGTGCACTCTACATATTTGCAAATGTATACAAAATAATACAAAATATAAAATTTTGCACTCTATATATTCCAAAATGACAATTAAGAGCATATACACTATTTAAGAAATTGAATATTATAGAGTAACATTGGTCAAAATAAACATATGCATTAATTAAGTATGAATATTTTAGAATAATTAAGGGTAAAACAATAAAAATTAAAAATTAAGAATAATCTAGAATGGAAGACCTAAGCTTCTATAAATAAGAGCCACATACCCATTTTGAGACTTTTAGGGATTTTGGGACTCTAACACATTAATCATTGGAAACCTCTCTCTCTCTCTCTCTCTCTATACTCTTTCATTTCCTCTCCTCTCTTTTGCAACCAATAACTCACTTTCTTCATCTCTCCTCCCCTAGAATTATAGCTTTGGCAAACAACATCATGATCTTAATCGGAGGACATATAGGTAGGGTGTCAATCGACCGGTTTAGACAATAGGTAGGGTGTCAATCCAAACCTTATTAAATCGGATTTAGACAATCTATTATAATTATTGGATTGGGCCAATTTGAAAATTAATTGGTCCATATTCTTATTATTTTGAATTGGATCTAAACCAAATTTATAATAATCCGATCATGATGCCAAATTCATGTCCAATTTGAAACTAATAAAAACTGAATGTCCAATTTGTAAAAACACTTTTATAAAAGAAATTTTATGAAAAATACTTTTTGAAAGCACTTTTATGAAAATACTTTTACAGAAGCAGTTTTATAAAAGCACATTTATGAAAGTACTTTTACACGAAATCACTTTTATGAAATCACTTTTATAAAAGAACTTTTACGAAAGTACTTTTATAGAAGTACTTTTACACGAAGTGCTTTTATGAAATCACTTTTATAAAAGAAAATTTACAAAAGTACTTTTATACAAGCAATTTTATGGAAGTACTTTTATAAAATCACTTTTATGAAAGAACTTTTACAAAAGCACTTTCACGAAAGTAATTTTATTATAAAAGCACTTCTACTCTACGAAAGCACTTTTAGAAAAATACTTTTATGAAAGCACTTCTATGAAAGTACTTTTATAAAAGCATTTACACAAAAGTACTTTTACAAAAGCATTTCTATAGAAGTACTTTTATAAATGTACTTTTACGAAAGCACTTTTATGAAAATACTTTTACGAAAGCACTTTTATGAAAATACTTTTACGAAAGTGCTTTTTCAATGTCAAATGGATATATTTTTGTAATTTTCAGATTTTTTTATTTTAATATATTTTTGTAATTTTTATATGTTCTGTTTTTTAATATAATTTTGTATATTTTATTCAAATTGAATTGGATCTAATACAATCCATTTACATTTTAGTGGATTGGATTGGATTTAGTTTATATTGAATTTTGGATCCAATCTATTTGTAAGTGGACTTACATTGGACTAGATCGGGTTGGACCAAATCCAGTCCAATCGACACCTCTACATATAGGCAACTCCTCTAATCTGACCACCCCTATTTTTCGGACTTTCAGGGCATAAGGAAACAGCATCATGATCTTAAACGGTTAAACCTAATTTCAATTAAAATAAAGGAATAGAAAGGAAAACATAACTAGGACATGAAAATGGAAAACGTCAATGCAAGAACCCCCCCCCACCACCCCCACCCCAATCCACACACAGTCAAAAAGATCCATATTTTAAAGTCTATCCAAACAAAACCCAAATCAACTAACATAGATTCTATGAAATAATCGTGGACGGTTATGGCATTTTTCTTTAGGATCCAACTCTGTATGAATAGGTATTGATCCACCGCAATGCATTTCAGTAGTAAGGATCCGACTCGATTCTCCAATATGGATCTTGTCTGTATTTAGATGGAACTGCTCCAACTCAGACTCGCTTCAGCGAAGCATTTATACTGATTCGTGTGGTTAAAGGCAGAGCAGTCCTTGGACAATGGACATAAAACAAGATTTGAAACTGGTTCAAATCTAGGAGAACCAAGGATATGACATAAGAACAGCCAAAATTAAAAAAAAAAAAAACAAAATCGAGTATCAGAATTAGTATCACACTAGAGAAATGAATGAATTTCCTGGTAAAATAAAATCGTCTTATTCATGATTCTGTGTTCTTCCAGTGAGACCGGATCTCCTTCCGATTATAAATTTATGAGAGATATTTATCATACTTATAAATTATTTTTTATGAGAGATATTTCTAATGCACAGTGGATGTGCATGTGAAGCGCTAAGGAGTAGATCTTGTTCCTCTTCCGATTCAATAGGTGAACCCGACTAGTAATAGACACAAACATGGTACCGGAATAGATTTGATAGGGTATAATGGTTGTCTCATCGATAGGGAAAATTTATGATACAGAAAAACATAGTACTGGAATAGATTTGATAAATCGAACACCCTGTGAGTTTTGCTAAACACCACCTTATGGGTCAACTCTTTTATGATACTGATTGATTGACTCTAAACCCAGTATCATAGTAAAACCTTTATGATGCAAATTTGTATGGTAAAGTTCTGGTTTCATTCCATAATTTTCTGGGCTCAGTTTGGAAAGAGGAGATCGGCTTAACCCTTTTGATTAATTA